TCACATCACATCACATCACATCACATCACATCATCACATCACACCACACCACACCATAGGACACCACATCACACCACACCACCACATCACACTACACCTTATCACACCACACCACACCAATCACGTATCATATCACACCATATCACACCACATCACATCACATATCACACCATACCACATCACATCACATCATACCACACTACCACATCACACCACATTATATCACACCATACCACACCACACCACACCACAGCCTCATACGTGCACCGTGCACATACATGCTTGGCAGGGCAGGAGCTCAGCCCCAGCTCATTGCAGAGGTCTGCTATGACCAGGACACCAGGGCTGGAGCATGTTGCATGCTCTCAGACTATTTTTAGGGCCAGAGGGGTGCAGCAGCGCTCTGGTGATGGTAGCCACACAATAAGGTAGCGTTATGCTCTCGCTGGCACTGGTGCCACTCTGTACAAGTCACCTCCCTGGTGGCTGCCTGCTCACCTCACTTTGCTGCTGTTACCTTTCTGTTTGTTGTGGGTGCCACAACTGCAAAGCTGGGAAAGAGAGGCTGGAGAAATCATGCCTTACCCAAAACACGACCAAACCATGCCATAATTATACAGCATTTCAGACTGCTGGTGCTCATTATTTTCTTGTCTGATTTTTTTTTGTTCCAGGTCTGTGTGTCCCACATTGTGTCCCACATTTACACCTCAGTGGGTTGAGAGATACCATTACCATCTGTCTTTATTTTTCTAACCCCCCCTCCCCCCCAGCCCTGTTTGGACACCATAGTGTGGAGACTTCTGGGAACATGTAACACAGGCTGCCAATTTCATTATCTTTCTCCTCTACAAACATCCATATTACTCATTGCCCCGCTCTTCACATGGGATGAAATACTGGCATTGTAACAATGCTTTGGCTAAGAGCTGTGTCTCTGGTGTGCTCAGCACACTGTTCTGAAGATAAAACACAGGATAAGGCCAGAAAGGCTCTATTACTGCAGTTTAAAGCTGTCCTTGAAGAGGTTTTTTATTTGTCAAGCCCTAGATTAGAAGTCAAGCCCATTGGATGCTCCACATCCTCCATAACCTCTGTGGATACATCAGAGCCAGGGCAGCTACACACACAATGACCAGACACTGAAAAAAAATCTCTCTCCACTGTACATCCCATCTGATGGAAACAACATGTTGCTACAGAAGCTGCAGCATCTTTCCTTGCTGGAGTCACAGGTATCACTGCAGCCTGATAGCCTCTTTTGATGCTGCAAATGTTTTGGAAGAAAACAGATAGTAGAGAGAATTTGAGCAGACAAAAGTGTCTCTGTCAGATAATGGATGCTGGGATAAAAAAGACAGCAGAGTTTCAAGTAATAAATACTGGTTTGGAACATAGAAATGGGGGAGGCAAGGCCAAAATGGTTTAAATTTGTAGAAAATTTCTTTTTACTTCAGGCAAGAATAGAAAGCAGTGGTAGAGACAGGAGAAATGAAAGGAGTAACCTGCAGAATGAGGAATGAAACACAGGAAAAAGAGGTGCTTTTAGCAAAGCCAGTGAAACAGCAGAATTGGAATATGAACACGACAAAGGCCGGGGCAAACCTGGGAGAAGACACCTTGAAAGTCTCTGTGGCAGGAGCCATGGACTTCAGTGAAGGAGCTATTTGAGGTGGGGGACTCATAATCTCCATAAGTTTCTCAATTAACAGGACAGTCTTGTCAGCAAGCAGCAGGAGGTCTGGGATTGCTTTTCCCACTCAGTTGAAGGGTGGTGGCATTACTTTTGGGGATCTGTGTGTCCTTCCCATGACAGAAGGGTGATGCTTAGGGCAGATTTGGCAGTTCTGGGCAGGGGTGCAGAGAACATGAGCACCAGAGGGAGATGCTAAAGGGGAAGGGTTCGTGGGAGGTTTTTTCTGTGTGCTGCTTGCATGCAGCCAGGGAGATGGCGGTGCCAGGGAAGGACATAAAAAGGTGTCCCCTGTGGTCCCACTCTGCCCTGGCTGAGTGCTCCTGGGTGCTGCTGTGGCAGGGAAAGCCCTGCCTGGCCTTTGGCCATCCCGTCTGGAGCACAACACCCAACATGCAAAGTTTCAACCCCAGCATTTGCTGGTAAGCAAAGTTTTAGGTTACTAACACCAGGATATTTTAATGGCAAAGGTCTATCAGCCTGCATGATAGCTCCAACTTCATTATACAACCTGCACTTGAGACTTTTCAAAAGCTTCAGAAGTGGACTTAGCTGATTGTGCATCATTTATGAAAAATGAGTGTTTTGAAAGTCTCTGCCTAAGTCAGATTTATTTCTTCTGCTTAAAAGAAAACCTGAAGATTCATCATGGTGAAAATAATGTTATACTAACAACAGCACTTGGACCACCTGCAACTGTGGTGCGGCTGTGCTGTGCATTGGTCTGGTTGCAAGGTGTTTTCTGCCTTCTCACTACTGGGAGGAAGGGAAGCATCCAACTAGTGACCTCTTGGCATCCCTGCGAGCATTGCTAATGGATAACGCCAGAACTATTAGTTTTGAAAGCTTCAGTTCATTCTCCTGCTGAGCTTATGACGTGAGTAAAGCCAGAAAGACAAAGCACCTCATCAGTAGAGCACAGCAATGACTGCAGGCAGTGTGCAGCAGAGGCAGGGTGAAAATAGACCTCGACAGGGGACTACATTGTCATTCTTCAGAAAAGGTAAACCAGTCACGCTCTCCCTCCTGACAGGACGTACCACACTGGGTAAGACGGATATACATGCTTTTAAACTGTTTTTTTTCACCCCCTCCTGTTGTGATTCTTCATTTCATCTGCTAAGTTAGAAATATTCTACTGCAGATATGCCACTGGTCACTTTATCCCTGGATTGTAAAAGAAAGACAAGCTCCAAATGAGGACTGGTAGGTGGCTATGACAAATACAGGTAAGGCAACAACCAGTATTTTCAGCTGAAAAATAAGAACAAAGCACAGACCAATAGCAAAGAAAAATGCCATGACAGGGAAGAGCAAAGCAATGAGATACAAATGTCCAAGCAGACAGCAGTACTCTAAAGAAGTCAAATTCTTGATACTAGAAATGTTAATTTGGTTTACATCTTACCCATTGCAGACATCATTTCCGATCGTAGCATAGATAACTATGGCTGGGTTGTCCAATAGCTGGTTTCTGGCCAAGCTAAAAGATAAATATGCAGCTATATTAACAGAGGAATAGGTTCTCTGTGTCTGAATCACACACCATGCTTCTATGAGATCACATTTGGAAGTGGCCTGTTCAGATTTGGCCAATACTCAGATGACTACACGTCTATGTTTGGGAGAGGGTTGTTTTGGGGTTTTTTTTAAATTTGTTTTTTCACTATAGTTTTATATTTTAGTAAAGTTTCTTAAATATATGTTTTTTTCACTTATCCTTTTTGCCTCTTGTGGACTTGTCTTTTCCACTTCTTCCCCTGCTGGCTTTCTATCTTCTTTGTGTTATTCAGAAGCCAAATCAAGCAGTTTCATTTCAGGGCAAAGATAAATCAAGATGGAAAGTTTTTAATCAAAGATGGGAAGGGAAGACTATGTTTGACTGACAACTACATTTATGTGTAGGATTAGGCTCAAGATCAAATCAGGATGTAGTTTGAAGAAGTTCAGTGCTAGAGGACAAGGATTTGTCACTACTTTTTCCAGAGGAAAGAACAATAAAACCCTTAGGGTGCGAACCATATCAGCATCAAACAAACTAAATCAAACCCAACTGCCCCACAGCCCACCCAGATTCATCTGAAAAGGAGAGTTGCTGCCTCTCACTATCCAGTAGCTACTCAATCACATCGATGTGGAGATGATGCAGTGGACCTTGCTCCATATCAGAAGTAATGCACAGATTTAGGGAAAGGCTTGGTCTCTTCACTAAAATTAGTGGAAATGCTCCATTGGCTTAACTGGGCCAAGATCAAGGCCCTGGAGATGGCTATATCCACAGTTTACAAGGGTTTTCCTTCTGTTGATGAATATTTTTATCAGAGAAGAAAGAACCAGCACTTCAGAGCACAGTGGCCAAGGGAAGCTGCACTTTTTGGGACATTTGTGTGTAATACATTCCTTACAGTGCTTTGCTTGTTTCTTTTGAAGAAATAGGACTCCAGCAACAGTTCTGTACCACCAGTCAGCATTTCAATCCCATTAAACACTCACCTTTTTATTAAATAGAGGAGGTTTCCTGAAGAACCACCTGATCACACATAGGGGGAATAAGAGAAATAGTTCAAATCATTACAGTGACAAACAAATTGAAGTGCAAAACCCAACTTCACTGCCTATTTCCAAGAATGTAGAAGCATTAAAAATACAAATGGAACAAGTAACCTCTGTAATGTTTTTGGGTGCTGGCATTAGGAAGTAAAGCTATGTGCTGCCTCTTACCTGAGTCCCACACTTCAGACTGTAGAAAATCAAATACTTTTAAGTGCTAGGTTGTTTGGATCTGGCTTTTAATCCAGATCTGGGAGCTTCTTCCCATCTGTTGAACATAGTCTCTTGTAAACCAGCCAACCTGACTTGTCAACAGTTGATCTACTTTTAACTTTCCCCATAAATTGCAAAGCGAACTGCTCTCACTCACACTGAAAGAGTAAGCGTCTCACAGCTATACCACGTTGGGACTGATTCAGGTCCTAAACATAGGCACCAAATGCCATTTTTGACATCTCAGAGTATCCAAGACACCTGCAGCAGGGCTGGCAGATACAGCACAGGATGCCTGAGAGATTGTGCACTTCTGGAGAGGCAGCTGGAGGTGGGAAAAATACTGTAAAGCATCTTAAATAGCACTAGACACCAATGTTTGAGTGTCTGCATTGCTCTCCCCATGAGTGGCAGACTCACAAAAAATAGTATTAGGCCAGCTGCACCCCTCCCGAGAAGCTCTGCATTTCAATGGCAATTCATCCAAATGGTTGGATGCAAATCTCTCCTCCTCCAGGAAAAGAGCTAGCTACACCTAAGCATCTGTGAGCATCTATAATCTTTCATTTATGCCTTGAATGAGAAAAGCATTCCCAATTAGGAAAGCTCTTATGCAGAAAACTTACTAGCAGGTCTTCAAAGGCTCTGCATAGACATCCCAACTCCCCACAGCGCACAAATCAAACCCCACTGCCTGCAGTGCAAGTGTTATAGCGAATTAGGAGCCAAAAAAAAGGCTTTATGCATTGTTCAAGATTAGACCAGAACTGTGATTGCAATAAGCTCACCTCACAGCAACGTACAGAAACATAAACTTCAGAGAAGCAGGCCCTACAGGTTGTACTTGCTTTTATTTTGCATTATTGTCACTCTCTGCTCTTTTCTTGCTCCTTCTCCTCTTGTATTATACTCCGCCTATTCTTCACTCAGCTCTTCCCTGGTCTCTCGTTTCTCCTCTTTTCTGCATTGTGCTTCTGAAGCTTGCTTTGAGGAGCAAATCCTGTCCTCCCTGCAGCTCTTGGGGGGAAACTTGTGGACAGAACATCATTAAATCCCTGCTGGATTGGTATAGAGGAAAGATCTAAGAGCTAAACCCCTAAGGTAGCAATAATACACTTTGCATTTTAACAGTGGTGTCTTTGCTATTGTCTCTTGCAGTGATGCCAACGACATATACCAAGGAATCTTTTATGTTTTAAATAATCCAGTTCTTCTAAGCTAAAAATGAATATCTCTGTCTGCTGTTCTCTCCTGAGGGTTGCTGGCCCATTCAAAATCCAGTCCTTCTGTTGAGAAGCTCTTTTCAGCACAATAAGAGCCCCACAAAATCCTTCAAAAATACAGCTTGGAACATAACTACCACCAGTTGATTTTCTTTTCTGTTTAATAGCCCTTCTTTCAGCTAGAGTTCAACACCCCTCTGTTAAGTCATTCTGTCGCCCGGCTCCCTGGACTGGGGCTGCAGTTCAACCAAAAATCAACTATTGGGATCTCTAGAAATTAAAAATGTATTTATACAAAAGTAAGAAACAGTTCTTGGGTGTGTATTACCTCCACAAGTGTAGGTAGTTATAAGCAGCTCTGTGGAAATCATTAGCACAGTTACAAATCAAGTGAAAACGTTAAGAAAATGAGGGGTTTTTTCAAGAGAACTGTTTTCCGAGGAAGTTTTTGTGGTACAGGATATAATCTGTGGTGAAAACATTCAAGTGAGAAAAAGAAATTATGCAGAACAGTTACAGGTACATTGTTAGATGTCCTGAAAGCTGTTCCTAGTCTCTCCTGCCCTTCTCTTTGTTGCTTTCCAAACATTTTCAGACTGGTGGAGTTTTAAAATTTTGATTGAGGAATCAGGGTTTGGTTTGCTTCTGCTTGTGAGTAACCCCAAATTTCCTAAACCTTGGAATACTTGAGCTGTACTTCTCGCTTTTCTTGCTCTTAGACCTTGTGTGGCTGACAAGGAACAGCACTAATGTGCACAGAAAGAGCCTGGGACAGCGCCAAAAGTGCTGAGTGAACAAGAACGGCTTATTGCTTTCTAATCTTTTGCTCCCTTATGTTGTAAAAGCTACTGGAAATGTAACGGTGCAAAGAAAAAAGTCTCTGGTTTTCCCCAAATGAAGTCCAAGTGGACTAGACTTTTCAAGGCAGCCAAAGAAAAAATATAAAAATTATCATTTCTTAACTGGTTTTGAAGCCACTGTGAGATATCTGGTGCTTGACGGCTCAGTGAGCCACAGCATGTGTCAGCAAGGCCTAATTTTTCTGGTCAAAGGCAAGAATCTCAAAGAAACAGATCAGACTACAAATGTCAAAGGAATATACAATACCCACATTTTGAAATAGCATACATTGTTCAAGTACCTCATGCAAAACATGGATGACAATCACAAGATTGTTCTGTAGATATTTAGAAATTCTGAGGGTATTCACTTTCCCTGTGTTTATCTAATAATTTTTTGGAATATTTTTAGCGACTGATTTTACTGTAAGGACACTTCTATCAAAACAAGAGGTCTTCGATAAGCACTGGAGAACATTTAGAAGAGCTTTCTAACTGCATTCATGCCTGGCCCTCATACCTGAGGATCGCTCTCTACCCAGTCAAAAACCAGAAATAGCACATGGCTTACAAACCTGTGTGAAGCTGCTGGAAGGCAAGACACCAAAACCGTGTTGAAAACAATGAAATAATAAAAATTATCTGTAGAAAACTGTTCAGCAAGCCACTTGGATGGAAAACATTAATTAGGACAGTGAGCTTCTTGTTCAACCACAAGCTGAAAGCAGTAATGGTGTCAGAGTATAGATTTGTTATAAATTATTAACCTTTATCTCATATATCAAACATCTTGTGGGGTGCCTGGTGAGCAAAGCTGGTCACTCAAAATGAACATCAGTAATTCTGATGTGAATATATTGATGGGGTATGGGTGACATAGACAGAGAGCTGAGGGACAGGGGCACTCTTCCTAGCCCTACTCCACAGCCAGATGCAGAAGAGGGAAGGGTCCATCACTTCCAGGGGATAGTGGGATTTTTTTAAGAAAGGGAAGGCAGAAGTCCTGGCAGCACAGAGGTTGTGGAAGCCTTCCTCCAGAGTGAAGAAGATGCATGTCCCAAGAAGGATAAGGGGGAAAGTCTGTGCTGAACTCTGCCACAGTGCTGGTGTTGAAGGCTGGGTGCTTGGATGCTTCTGCAGAGAGCTGGAGATGAGCATTGCTCTTGGTCCCCAGCTTGGCTTGCCATCCCTGGGCTCTGACTCGCCGCTGCACGCCTCCCTCATCAGACCTGCAGCTCTAGCATCTCTTCCTCTCATCGTGTATCCCTGGGGCTGTGAAGCATCCTTTTCAGAAGAAGGTTAAGTTGTCCCAGGTGAGGCTAGGTCAGGTTAGTGGCCAGCTTTTCACTTTGCTGACACTGAGAGCAGCCATTTAAATCCTCCCATTCGGGGAAACTATTATGTCAAATGAGGCAATAGAAGTGAACCTTTACAATATGGTGTCAGTGCAATGATGAAGAGAAGATACTGAGGGAAGATATCCTGGGATTTTTCTATCACTTGTAATTTTTCCCCTTTTTAAATTCCCTTCTCAATTTTCTTGAGTCTTTTGCCCTGACACAGGCTCACCTCCTTTTATAACCTGCAGGTGTCTGTAGAATAAGTGTAAAGGAGATATGTGAAGTGGAAAGAAAAAGGAATGATATACACATTGAGAGGTTTTTAAATTTTTTTTTTAAAAGTCTGTGAGGGAATTGAGGAAAAGGAAGAGCAGAAAGTACAACCCCCATTAACGTGAAGAGAACAGAACAAGGTAATAAGGCATTAGGTACTGAGGTGAACTGGATATAAATGAGAAGAACCATTGATATAATCTAGTTTGGCCTTTTTTTTCATTCTCTCACCAGAAAGCACATCTAGGGGACTTCAATAATGGGATCCATCATCTCTAGTGCCCTGTGACAGCCAGATGAGAAAGTCAGAGGCACCTGATCCATGACACCTAACACATTGTAAAACACTTATGTAGATAACCTGAAGCCTCAGAAACACCATGTGTGCCACAGGTAGGAGGAAAATGAATCAGAGGGATTGCCAGTGGCATTAAGTGCTGGCTCTAGAAGGCAATTTTTTAGGTGAAAATGCCCACCTGAATCTGATAGTGATCCTTGCATTATGTCATCTGACTGGGCAGCCTCTTCTGTCTGGTAAGATCTATGGCTGTCAGAGCTGGGGGGCTGGGGAAGCCCCTATCTGATCCTAAAGCTGGCAGGAAATCCCAAGCATTTAACAAGTTTCTAAGTAGCACTAGGGACAGAAGTGCTCATTGCTCATGGCTCACATAACTCATCTGTCATAGAGGAAAAGCATCCCATAAAGCCAAATTATCTGCCCAAGGAGAAGAACTTTTCCTAAGCTTCTGCAGCCAGTTTCTGAAGCATGAAAATCAATTAAATACAATAGAGACGCAATGTGATAATCACAGAATAATCAAGTCTCTTTTAAAAATGTTGTTGGAGGCATCACCTAATCCCACACACAAAAGCTAACATCATAATCCTTCATTTCTAAGGGGAGATTACTGTCATCCCTTCATGACAAATTTAAACAAACTGTGTCTTGAAACAACTCGGGGTTTCTTTTTTGTCCCCACTTCTCCATTTTGAGGGCTATTCAAGGTTTTCACTCCTTGATAGTAACCTTTTTTAAATTCCCCCTCCAAACAAAGGTAAGATTAATGAAAACACATGTTCATGTACCAGAACTATCCTTTAGTTTAAACCATTCGTCCCACTCCCTGGTGTTTATGCCTCGAAAGGATTCAAAACCGTAATCCCTTTTAATTTTTGCTTTACTCAGTTGCCAAGGTGTCTTAACATTCCTTCAGAAGTCTCCATTGCCCTAATTTTCCCCAAAGCCCTTCTTTGTATCTATTCCCACCAAAGTCGGTCGTTCTTAGGCAAAGAAGACCAAATTCAGAGGTATTATCAGTGGTTTATGTGAGGAAGGACTGTCTCCCTGTCTCTAGAGAAAATGCTGTGCGTGCTGCACCTTGCAACCTCCTTAGTCTTTTTCCAGCTATGTCCTACATTCCTGGATGTTCCTTGAAATTCCCCTTTGTACCCCAATGCCTCTCTCCCTCCACCACCTCTGGCTGATGAACCAGTAGCTTATAGACAAGAGTCTCATTACGAGCTCTGACATTTGCCAAGGTAAAATGTGTCTTCTACAACTGTATTTGCTGCAAGAGCTGTCACTGCTGTTCCCAAGCTCATCCAAATTACTCCTGTGTAAGGATGTGTCCCACTTCAGGGTGGTTAATGCTCTGCAATTTTGAATCACTCACAGATGCCATCGAGCATGCACCTTGGCCTACTCTAAGGTCACCACTCCAAAAGTGAAGCAGCGTTAGCCTCAGGAGGAATGCATGAGGCTCCTCTCTCAAACCCACTGCTCTTCCCTGCTTAGCTGGTTCTCTAGGCACCTCTTATTTCTTGTATTAAGGAATAAGAAATATCTGAAAACAGGTTATGCACAACTGTGATTGGATTGTTTTTTTCCTTAATTTTGTCTGAAAAAAAAAATGAAAATGCAAATGAGAAGGATAACAGCCCAAAGGGAAGCTGATGAGAAGACCACACTCTCAGCTGTGAGTACCTCGTCATCTTTATCAGGGCTGCTGATCTTGTATTAATCTTCCTCTTCTTTACTGTACAAAAACGTTTCCCATGAGGTACTGTGCAAGACATTTTCCTTAATTCTAGATGGTTTAAGTCTGCTGCATATACACTTTTAGCTCCATCACTACCAACATCCCTCTAAATCCCCCTTTTTAGCCATGGTCAAAAAAAACAACTAGTAGAGCTACAATGTTTTTTGTTCAATGGAAATTTTAGTCAATGCATGGAGAAAAATGACCAAGCACACACACCTCCCTACTCAGAGCCAGAAGACACGGACTTTAATGAGCTCTGCTGTCCATTTTTCCATAAGACACATGTGCAATTAGGAAAGGGTTTCTCTTTTTTTTTTTTTTTTTTTTTTCTGAAATATGTTCATCAATGTATCAGACTAGTAAGGTTAAAAAGAAAAAAAAAAAAAAGTGAAAGATCTTAACATACCATTTTGGGAAATGTTCTGTAAGTCTCTGTGATTACAGCGATTTCTCCTGCGTAAACGTAGATACAGAGAGTCTGTCCAACCTCTGAAATAAAATGAGAAAATGCAAGCTGCTAAACTCATATGACATGGATGAAAACACAGCTATTAAAAATGAAGTATGTTCTCATCTCTGAACAACCCTGTGCCCCAGTTATGTATACACTTCTATTTCACCATCTCTCTTTTTGTGGTCATAAATTTTTTCATCTTGAACAGGGTGACCTAAAATCGAAGCCAAGATATTCTTGGAAACTCTAAACTGATGGAGAGTGTCTCTGAAATTGTTCCATCCAGGATGCTTTTATCTTTTCTTTTTCTTTTTTTTTTTTTCTCATAAGGTGTTTAAAAACCTTTTTGTCATACATCATTTATCAAAACAATCCTGCTGATTGCTCAGTAATTGACTTTTCAATTGGTTGTTATGGAACAGTAAATAAAAGAGAAGAAATATTGGCAGGGCATTCATTTCCCAATGTCATAAATCTTGGATGGATTGATCTGAAAACAGGTAATGCACGACTGTGATTGGATTGGTTTTTTTTTTCTTTATTTTGCATATCTGAAAAAAAAAATGAAAATGCAAATGAGAAGGATAACAGCCCAAAGGGAAGCTGATGAGAAGACCACGCTCTCAGCTGTGAGTACCTGGTCATCTTTATCAGGGCTGCTGATCTTGTGTTTGAACTTAGACACTGAAGGAATCAGATAACCGAAATACCAGGGCTTAAGAACAGCAAACTTAGATGAGTGCAGAGAAACAGAAGACAAGGAGAAGTTTTGAAACCAGCAATAAAATGTAACTACCTACTGAGAAATGCATGATAACATCAAGCAGTCACCACACAATGGTCTACAGAAGGAACACCCGAGCTCTTTGGTTTTCAGCAGAGCAGGTGGGCAGATGAGGAGAAGCAAACAGACCTTCTTGGTCAAAGGATGTTAGTTAAACAGTGGTGTCCCTGTTCACCCATCAGGGAGATGGGAACGATGGGCAAGAAACACATCAGTTTGTGTTTCTATTTCTGCAGGCTCGGAGCAAATGGGAGCCTCCCACTGCTCTCCTTCTACCAGTCTCCACCAGACCTAACCATTGTAGTGTGGAATTTTGTGCTGCTTCTCTTAAAAATACCTTGAACTCCTAAACAGTCCTTCTTTATTTTTTTTCTTTTTCTTTCTTCCAGACGTGGAAGGGATTAAAAAAGAGATTAAAAACTGAACACTGAACCAAGGTCTATCACTGGCAACTTCAAGGTCAATTCTAAGCTCTGTTCACTTGTGAACTCCAGATCTTTACAGCCCAGTTAAATACTGTGTATTGAGTAGCTGAACATTGTAATAAATTTTGAAAGGTCAGTTTTGCTGCTGATTCTGAAAGAGAAGTCTGCATAGATCTTCTCTGTTGGCTTGCCAAGTAGTATACCAGCTTAAAGCATCCACTGTGTGAATGTAGCTGAGGCTGGGATCCTGGTTTTTGCACAGGGAGAAAAAAAGGAAGCAAAAAGTACAAGTGTTTGGTGCAACAGACATTTTTCCTGGAAAATAATATATCCTGCCAACTTTTTAATTCTGCTGGTAGAAAACCTCTTTAGGCTTGACTCATGCTTGGTTTGGTATTTCACTGTATTCATGATCAATCTTAGACACAGAAAATAAAAATTATCTGAAACTCAAGCCAGACCAGGCACCGTTGATGACTGTACCCTTCAGTTCTGCCAGGAGTCAAGGGCCTATTCATGCTGGCTGGAAAGATGATTAACAAAATTATGAATATTTTTTTTTTTTTTTACTTCACAGTTAAAACTGGCATTTCAAGATGTTTTCTTTGTATTTGAACTTTACTTTCCTTCCCTTCTGGCAGACACTTCTTTTTTTCCATCTAACCCTTCCCCATCTACATGAGCCAATGTAACACAGCAAATTAGGGCACAGGCACTTCCCAATTCTTTTTTTGCTACTTCCCTCTAAATGCAGGAAAAAAAAAAGGCAGGGGGGAGAATGATTGCCCCAAAAAAGTGAACACCATGAAATAACCCTGGAGTTACCATTTATTCTGCTGTTTCAGAAGCAAAAAAAGGAAATAGGAGGAAGAGAGAAAGAAAAAAAAAGCTAAGAAAAGGAAAACGCTGATTTTTTTTTGCTAGTTTCAGCAATGCTTCCCTTCTCCCTGTCCCAGGATTTTGAAAAAAATCAATTTTGGTTTTATTTTTTAATTAATTTCTCCTTCTAAATTACAACTTGACCAGCTCTAAAACCTACCCTGAATTTCAGGAAGACTGGGCTAGAGTATTGTGCATTGCCTGTATATTTAGAAGATCTTTCAAAATCCCTAGATCTGGTGTTGATCTTGATTTTAGAAAGTGCAGAATCAGAGCTGACTAGCATTTTTATCTTTCCTTTCAAGCACAGTTTTTCTTTCTTGCTCTGCTTTGAGGGATGTTCAGACTTGCTATGACTTGTCCACCCCGTCTGTTGGCTTACCCGATGGTGGAATTCAGAAATCCAGTGATCTCTGAGAACTGGGGCCAGTCAAGCTCGTCAGTGAAAGCCATTGGGAGATTAGCAAATGATTTCTGAAAGAAAAATTTTTACATCATCAACACGGTTTCATCCTCACAGGCAAAAAAATCCTTTCAGCAAACTGGAGCAGTTCTCAGCTGGAGCGTTAGCTGGACGGCAGCCATTGCAACTATAGCTGGAGAGGTAATTAGTTACTCATATACTTAAAAAGTTTCCTCTTGTAAGATAAAGAGATGGAGGAAGGAAAAGCAGGGAGATATCTGAACTGCATCTCCTGGCACCCTTTAATTCTGGATGAGCTCAAACTTCCTCCTGAGGTGGAGCATGGGCTGCAGGTGTAGACTACCATCCATCCTGTTCAAAGGTGGGTCTCCTTGGGCACAGGCAATGACAACATGATGTCCCCAGCATATATAGCAGAGGGATAACATCACATTCAGTTGAAGATCCCTTGCCCTCTCCAGCTGGATGAGCTGCGAGCATCTGACCCTCTAAAAACCTTTGCCTGGTCCTCACTGCAAATTTTGGGGGTTGTCATTGAAGTGTCAGAGTCAGAAAGGTCCCTAAGCACAGTGGGGACCAGGGAGAAAAATGCACGTTCTGCCATAACCTTCCCACGCAAATAGATGCAACCTTTGCCCTTCTCTGCTTTTGCTGGTATTAGTCCCTAAAGCTTTCTTATTTTTTTTTCAGTGACTGCCTCCTTGAAAGCCTCTATGCAGATGCAAGCCATGTTGCATGTTCAAAACAGTGCCCTGTTTGTTTCCACTTTGATTTGTGAATGTGTCAAAAATCGTGAAAGATGAAAAAAAAAACCAGCCTCAAGAAATTGTGCCACCTCAGAAGGATGAGAACATGGAGTAAATTTCCAGCTTCTCCTAGTCTAGGGTATGCTCATAAAGAAAATGCATAAATCCAGCGTGCTTATGCTGAAAAACTGTTGATGCAAAAGGAAGTAACCAAAAGAAAGTAAAAACATAAAATCAGAGAACTTACAGGTTGGTTTAACCCATGGAATTTATTAGCTTCATTTTCTTTTCAAGAAATTGCAGGGTTTCCTTAAACCCTCACTGCTATAAACAGCAAGCAGGTGAGTAATTCTTTCTCCAGGAGGGTACTGAGGTGCCACAGAAGAGCTAATTCTTGTAGTCCCCACCAAGTCCTCACTCCCACAAAATTATCATTGAGGTGAATGGGCACGATGCTCGAGTATATGACTCCAGGTTTTGTCTGTCAGGGGATGGGGGAGACGCAGGGAAAGGGGAGGAGCAGCAAGAAAAGGGGGGTTTGCATGGGGGAGAAATCCTGAAGCCAAGCTCTGAGCAGCCTAATGCACAGCAGATGTCATTTTAAAGCATGTAACAGCATATTTGACCCACTTACAGTAGATTTGCATTAGTTACTGAGGTGAAAATGGGTCTGGCTTAATTATATTTCAATTTGTTCTCTCTCTTTTATAGATATATGTGTGTGTCCTTGTGTGTGTCTGCACATACATACTTCTTTTCTTCTTTTCTTTTTTTCTTTTCTTCTTTTCTTTTCTTTTCTTTTCTTTTCTTTTCTTTTCTTTTCTTTTCTTTTCTTTTCTTTTCTTTTCTTTTCTTTTCTTTTCTTTTCTTTTCTTTTCTTCTTTTATTTTTTTTAAGACTGGAGGGAACTTCCAAATCCACCTTCTTCAAATCTGATAGTTTTATGTGTAAATAGGCACTTAACCCAAAGTCACAGCTATGAGCAGAAGCAGAGGGGTACAATATGGCCTGGCTCTTTGTAATATTTGCCTCCTTGTAGCTTTTCATTAAAGGTGACAGAAATATTGAAACAGTCACTGAGCATAGAACGAATTATAGATATGAACTCTGATAAGTCACAGCATATAAGAGTATAAAAAGAGCTCAAAAATTATTAAATATTTTTAAAACAAATCATTCTATGACCAGTTCTCTCATGATTTCCCATTAGCACTCCAGAATAATATTTTCACTGGACAAGCTCCAATATTTTATTCCCCACCCCCACCCTGCAAACTTAGCTTAAGTATGAATTAGCCAGAACCTAATTGAGTTGCAAATTGATTTGGAAAGGAACATTTGCACACAGAATTATAGTTGCACTTGAAAACTGTGTATATGCTTAGCATTGACAGCGTTCCAGCAAAGCACTTAAAGCCAGACTTTTGGAGATATTTCAGGACCAAAGGGTGAAGATGAGTAGTTAATGGAAAATTCAGAAGAATGCTAGACCTTGGACTCTGCAGGAATGTAGTTTGGAAAGTATGGCCTAACAGTCTGCATTTCACTCAGTCTCAGATGCAAATGTGTCCCACTCTAGAGGTGGATCTATGATGACTTTTAGCTTAAAACTCCTCTAAGCACAACCTTGTTTAAATATCATTCTCTAGACTATTCTGGCTGAGAAACCATGCTTCAGCCTACGTGCCAGATTTTAGCAGAGAATGAGAAAGCTATTCCAGCCTAGCTCCAAATACCGTATTTTAGCCTCAGATGCTCTAATTTCAAAGGGTTTCATTTCAAAGAAACGTACTCACCTCCTAGATGTGTCCTACCTGGAAAATATGTCTCCCCAAAGCCACAGTTGATGTTAAATGCACACACACCGAGTGGCACTGGACCAAGTTAACTTAAATGGAAGAAGGTTCAGGGTTGCTATGGCAGGAGATTTTCAAAATCAGGACACAAAAAGGCATTGGAAACCTAACGCTTGTACAAGCCTTTAGAAATGGCAGTTGCAGAAATCCTTAAAGCACTGAAGTATCCCTTAATTTGAAGGGGAATTGAATATTCGGTTTTTATACTGACTTCAATGACGTTCAAATCCTTGTGATAGCATTAAGTACTGCAGATGACTTTCTTATTCTAGAAATAAGAAATATTTCTAGAAATAAGAAATATTTCTAGAAATAAGCAAGCCTTAGAGCTCTTGAGGACAGCACAGCCTCTCTTTTAAAAAAGAACATATGACATTTCTGCTCTGTAAAGCTGCAAAGGACATAGGTTTGAAATTAGCAAAATTATTACCTTATTTCCCCCCAAATGCAGCATCTTAGTCATCACAATACTAGCTGGGAGAAACCTGCCTGCGATACACTCAATTTAGAGGGGAGAGAGGGAATGTTTTTAATAAGATTTTCACAGATCAAACTCTTTGTTTTTTTCTAGTGGTGCAAAAAAAAGAAGCCAGTGGGATTAGTGTTTGGGACATCCTGAACTTGCATTTAAAGAAATGCTGAATTCTTTTAATAGGAAATACATAGTATGAAACAGTTACTTTAATGAAACCTAAGAACCTCTTGAGTTTGTGGGCAAATAGATATTTACTGGATTACAGATAGACATGGGGTTTATTTTTCTCTTTATTCAGCATGAAATAAAGTTCCAAGAGTTTTAAAATACATCTTCTTAGAAAGGGTATAATTTCCAGCACATTTATAAATACAGTGCTTTTATCTCCAGATAAAATTGTCTCTAAAAATGAGATTTAAAAGTAAGCTTCTATCCCAGGCATATAACAGAAAAATGCTGCATTTAGTAGCTATTTGGAAGTCAATTGTAAGCAGATGGACAGAGCAGCAGGAGCACAATATCCATCGCTAGACACATCAGTGTTTTCAACATTAGCTTTCCGCAAAAACCATTCACTTCAAAAAAAACCCAACCCACCCTGTGTTTCTTCTGCTTTGCTAAACCTCATCAAGTGCATGTCTACTGCATTATACTTAATTTCTAGTGTCCAAATTTTCAGGTCGAAGGAATGAACATTCAGCATAATTCTTGGTCAAACTTTTCAAAGCAGAGAAGCCTGGTAAACCCAAATCCTATTGACAAGCAGAAAGCCAACATAGAGTTGACTCATTCCCTTCTTACAGCTGTATAATTCTCTTCCTTTAATTGCACTCTGGGTGTTTGGGGGTTTACTGGAGCGATGGAAGGTCAAGGACAGAGCCATGTGCTGGGCTGCTTCTGCAGGAACATGCAGGCAGGTATCCTGGGATGGTCCCAACATCATGTTCTCTGCATTGCTGCACCTCAGCTAGATCCTTGTAGGACAGGCTTTGGAACTCAGCAGTACCACGTTGGTCAAAAAGTTCAAAATCAAGGTACCTGTGACTTCCCCTAGTGCTACATAGGGTGGGGTTTGGTTGGTTGGGGTTTTTTTTGGTGGTTTTTGGGGCTTTTTTTGACTGGAGAAATAACATGCCTGAGCTATAGCTTTCAAAGATGTGTCCACCTTGTGATGGATCCTTTCCACATCAAGTAGTGTCTCCGTATGCTCTTTGTGGGAAGAACATACTCTAAAAGGGATGATAACTGTATTTCTGACTGTGTCATAGGTAAAGGCTTCGGAAATAGCACTTGATGTAACAGCTTCCCAACAATGGTCTTTGAAGCAATGGAGCAAGGATCTGAATTCCAAAGCTGTTCAGCCCAAATACCCTTCTGGCCACCCGTGAACTGATCATCCAGTTACCCAAATAACATTCTGAGCCTGCTTCAGTGAGGAAATTTCTCATTCACATTCTCTTTCTTCCCTCACTCATCATTACTGCGCCGTTACATGGTAGATTATGTGCAGCATAATCAGAGGAAGCAACCATTCTGCAGAGCCTCTTAACTAAATTCTCAGCATCTCTCCTGAAAAATTATTTCCTCACATAATTAGCTTTAAAACAGGAATTAACAGCTGCCACTGATGTGGTGCTGATTAACAAAAGGGCTCACTGAATTGTTACCCAGCGTAAATTTCTTTACACTTGTATATGTGAACATCTATAAAGGTAAATATAGGAAATACATGAAATATATAGAATATATATGTAAAAAAATAGAAAAGCATTAAACTAAAAAAAATTATTACATTTAATTAATATGAATTAACAGGCACACAACTTTTTCCTTGACAAAAGTCCTGGGGATGGGGGAAAAGTCCTATTTGGATTTCTACATAGAAGCTTGAGATTCCATTGAAATGTAAATTAAAGCTTTGAACTGTCTCTAGTATTGACTGCAGAGAAAATTGTTTGATAAACTAATTTTTCTGTGTGTCTTCTCAAAGAAATTTTGGCAGAATCAAAGTGAAGTGTCTCAAGTTTGACAGCATCGGGGAACAGCAGGTACACGAGGCTAGTGTGTTATCCTCCCCTCTCAGAGCCCTACCTTCAAGTTCTTGCTCTGGTCCTAAATTAAGGATGCTTCTTGCCAGATAGACATAGATTCTCCACACTCTCGGGTCACAAAACCATCCCTAGGTGTGCCTAGAAATTCTTCTTGAGGAAGACCTCAGTCTGAAAAAGCACTGAAGCCAGTTAATTTGTTACATGAAGGACATTTGCCAACAGTATTTAACAGTGTACATCACAGCTCTGAAGCAGGGTAAGTTGCTGCTTTTGCCTTTCTACCCACAGAACACAAGACACAGAGGCCAAGAAAAACGAAGAGGCAGCTACAAAGTCTGAACTAGCTCAGAAATTTTTGTGCTCAGGCAACGATTTTCTTACTTAAAGTGAGCTGCAAATGAAATAAGTTTCGAGATTAAGCACAGATCCTTGTTTGTTTATAGGACTGAACTCTCTGTATCTCTGCATTAATATTTAACTGCTCTATATTTGCCTGGTTGGTAGGAAAGCTTGCAAATAGTTGTAGAAAAGACCCTGTTCTTTCCTATACTGAATCTCATGTATGCCAGGCACTTGGGCAGTTGTGCAGGGTAGTGCCCTAGAGCTCAGCTAGCTGTAGGAGGGCTGCATTTCCCTGCACAGTCCTCAGCCCAGCCCTGCTCTGTCCTGGGCAGCTATAATCCATTTTTTAAGTTCCTCAGCATTATTAATACATGCTGAAATGCTGCCAGACCAGAATGCTGCCAGACCAGAATATAAATTTTATATATAAAATACAATTTTATATATACTTTGCATTGGTACTGTGGTGGTTTCATTTGGCTAGCACTGGGCTAGCAGCCAAGCACAGCCATTCACTCACTCCCCCCTGCCAAGGGACAAAGGAGAGGATTGAGGGGCAAGGGTAAGGAGACTCCTAGGTTGAGATAAGAACAATTTAATAATTGAAATAAAAGAAAACTTAAAAGAATAATGATATTCAAATAATAATGATGATAATAATAATAATAATAAAATATGCAAATAAGTGATACCCAGTGCCATTGCTCACCACCCATCGACCAAGCCCAGATAACAATCCCAGAGGAGCGACAATCCTGAACCGAAACCACAATCCTGGAAGAGCAAGAGCCTGAGCAAAAGCCAGAGAGCAAGAGAGGGAGAGACCCTCACTAATATACTGACCATGACGGGATATGAGATGCAGTATCCCACTGGCAGAGCCAAATGCCCATTTAGTTGATTCATTTAAATATTACCCACCCCCTTAGATCTGGCACTTGTAGACTGACAGAACACAAAGTCCTTCACTTCCAGCGACAAAAATGCAAACACTGGGATGTTCTCAGTGTCTCTCTCATAACAAATCCCAGCTGAAACCAAAACCCAGTGCTATTCTAGCTCCTAAAAAGAAACCCAGCTCCGTCCCAGCTAAAAACCAAGGCAGTACAAATAATGACCCAAGTATAGGCAAATGGAACCTGGTCTTCTGAGCGTAAACCATCATGGCCCAGCCTTTAGGAGCTTGGTCTGGTAGAAGACCTTGCAAGTAAAACTGAGAACATCACATGAGATCATGCAGTGAATGGTTCAGACAAATGGGAAGAGCCAAATGTGTGGAGCCAGTGCAGCAGCATTGGCAGTGAAGATGTGCAGCCAGGGTCTGAGCCTTGGTCATTATCTTCCAGACAACCAGGTCCTCAGGGAGGTAACCCTGCTGCCAAAACCCAAAAGTGCTGGGCTAGCTGCACTTTCCTGTCAAGCAGCTCTCCTTGCAAAGGGTCACATGCCAGGTTCACATGCCTTGTCTGCATCCTGCCACCTGGTTTTACTTCCCAACTTTGAAATGCTGCCCCACTGCCTGACCTCCTCTGGTGGCGAAGGCATGCCCAAGCATCTCCAGCAGCATGTACCAGGCAGCCTCCTAACGGGGAGACCATGGCACAATGAGGAGTCTGTGATCCACACAACAGTTCACCTGCAGAGGCCCAGACCTGTGCTGCAGAAATCCCTCGTCCACCGGACAAAGGCACAGTAACGGAGGAGCCTGCAGGTAGCTCCTGCTCTGTACCAGCAATTATGTCACCTGCACGGCCTTGCCTTTACCTACAAGTGCAGCAAAAAGGTCTCACATGAACATCCTTTTTGTCTGTAAGTAGAAATGATGAATATAGAGTTGTTTTCCTCTAAGAAAAATCCTACAAAAGCTCTAAAGACAACAGAGCTGAAGAACCTCCCTATGGATGGGATGTTCCCCTGTCAGAGGTCTATCTGACACTGCCCAGGGAGGTTGTGGAGTCTCCTTCTCTGGAGACATTCAAGACCCGCCTGGATGCCTTCCTGTGTGATCTCATTTAGGTTCCTGCTCCGGCAGGGGGATTGGACTAGATGATCTTTCAAGGTCCCTTCCAATCCATGACATTCTGTGATTCTGTGCTCAGTGTCTGAAGTGACATAAGGTTATCTATACTATCTTCTTTTACCTTCTTCTGTCAGCTCCAGTAAGTGGTATTTTAAGCAATACCTTAATGCATCCCTTTCCTACTGGGCTCAGAATAGACTCCAGCCCTGCTGCCGTGTACTGGTGCATGAGAGACATCTCCCTGGGACTGGCTTGTGGAAGCTTTGGGTCTGCATGTGATGTCCAGGCTTCATTTTTACTTATACATCGTATTTAGCTTCTCAAATTCCAGTGATATCTTATCTCCTTTTATTTTATATATTATCAGTGGAGTCATCCACTATAAAAGCCCAGAGGGTGAACACACCTCTCTCTGCCCTCCTTGCCCCCGTGCAGGGCAATAACTCTAACCTGGACTCACTCTTTCTGCAAAGCAAAGAAGCTCATTTCTCAACTTTCCAACCGGTCCTTCATCTTCCCCATGCTGGCCAGATGGAGTTGAGCACTAAGAGCATATATTTGTTAGGCCTTACACAGACAGCACCAGTTCCCTTCCTGTGAAATTTGCTCTACACCCATCAGACAGTAACAACATGCCTTCAAAACTCACTTTATAGTCTTCACTCCAGCTCCTGATCTTGCTTCTGCACACCATCACCAGCCCTCAATCCATCCAACCAGTGGACCAGGAAGCTTCAAGCAAGAGAAACACTTTCTAAACCTTCATTGCAGTGATAATAAAATGCCGACATAGTCTAAAATTATTCTTGCCTGTATGGCTCTGCTACCAGTGTTGCTGCCATAATCATCATCACCATCACTATTATTACCATCCTTATTAGACAAGAAAATCTCAATTATCATTAGAGCTAATTTATTATGCTCATCATCAGCTCTGTCATCAGTGTCATTCGTCTAATCGTTGCTCATAAAAGTTTAACAAAGAAAAACAACTGCTAATCTGCAAGATTTAAATCAGCTCAGCTCTGGGAGCAAAAGTGGGAAAATATATGAAAATTTCAGACCTCCAACAGCAGTGTAACTGCTAACATTTAGTATTGCTCTCCAGAAAATGTCCATATCCTTCTTCCACAGAGGCGAGTGGAGGAGTAGCAGGTTTTCACCAGCGAAGGTGGACAATGATGATCTACTCACCCCTGTGCAACAAACCCTTGTGCAGAGAAGGACAACACACAGTCCTCCCTGGCCTGGGACTGACACCAGCTTGGGATAGGAGACAGCAGTGAAGAACAGGAGCATACCTGTGCCTTTATCTCCACCCCCTAATTGTACTTTGCTGGAATGATCTTTTCCCCTTAGTTACTTCATTCCATGCCAGTGAACTGCAACAGCTGAGGCTCAGCATAATCCACAGTCAGGCACATTTTGTTGTGGTTTGAAAATGGGAAATGCTGGGATATGCCCAAAGGCAGACATCAGTGTGTGGGTGATATTTTATGGTCACTACAGAAACTCGTCCCTTCAGCACAAGTCCATTATAAACCCTTGGATGACCCTCAAACACCTGCAGATGTATTTTTGCAATGAGCCTTCAAGCCTGAACACTGGAGTTACTAAACCTATTTCATATATGCCACAGATGAGGGAAAACAATCCAGGACATGTCATTTCAAGGCCAGTTGCCTAAAACAGATGTTCTGGGGCTGTCAGCGGGGTCACTTCTGCAACACGTGCATAGCAAGGAGCCATACCAACAAGCCTGGTAACAGCAGGACTGACCCCACAGAGAGCATGGGTCTCCTCGAGCCACAGGCACGTGCGTGGAAAGCCAAATGTCCTGGTTTGTGTCTCTGGCACAGCACTGAGCCACCGAAGCCAAACTCTTCCTTGACCCAATTGCACAGATGTCAGAGGAGCGGTGACAGCACAGGGCGATGTTATTTTATCTTCAGAATAGCAGTCGTGGGAAGGGACTGACACACACGAGACCACAAGAACTATAAATTCCAGTGCAATGAGGCATTTTGCACTTGTTTCCTTTTGGCAACCTGCGGCACAGAGGAGAAAGCAAAGGGCAACCAGCGGGGCAGTGGTTTTGGCAACCCGACCACGATTCCTCACCGCTGACATCTGTGTGATGGTCATCCACTCGGGAGGGATATGGAAGTGAGCGCCGGCCGAGTCTCCCAACAGCACCACCCCTTGCGAGTCTGCACCTAATAAATGCATTTTGTGAGTCACATGAGTAGAAAGAGCAAACTGAAACAGAGCTTGGAGAGCAACTCTCAAAGAGCAACTGCAATGGCAGCTGATGGAGTCATGGGGTGACTGACAACACCATTCTTCATGGCCAGACCTGCAATGGGATTTTTCACTCCATCTGCAGCAAAAACTGGCTATCAGGCATGTGGCTAGAGAAACAACTGGGGACTGGGCATGAAAACCAGGGAGAGGTCTTACTAATCAGAAAAAATCCTGGTGGTATTTGAGGATGGATGTGTTATTTCAGCAGAGGCTCTGCTGTGCAGCCAACATTTGTATTCACTACCAATAGAATATGCCTTAAAAAGTACTTAAACATTTAGGGAAATCGGCTTACTCAGGAAATTGCTCAAAGCGTTTTATAGCAGAACTGGGTGGGGGGTGTGCTACTCACACAAGAGTTTCTGCTAAAACAATCTAGCTGGTTTATCATTAATGTTACTTAGCATTTGTAATTAAGGTTACTTAGCCTTTCATCTAAAAAATGTTGAAAAGTCTTGCCAGGCAATGGTTCATCCTGAGGATTCTGATTGAAATGTAAGGTCAGGTGAGCAGCAGCTGTAGTGGTGGCTGCTTAGCAGAGGTGTTATTTGTGTGTCTGGGTGCACACAGACACCCACATCGCTCTCGGGGAGAGCAGCTGATGGCACCGTTTCACTTTGTACCCTCAGTCAGTTTGCAGATGACATCAAGCTGGGTGGGAGTGTTGATCTGGTTGAGGGTAGGAAGGCTCTGCAGAGGGATCTGGACAGGCTGGATCCATGGGCTGAGGTCAACTCTATGAGGTTTAACAAGGCCAAGTGCTAGGTCCTGCACTTCAGTCACAACAACCCCCGGCAGCACGACAGCCTTGGGGAGGAGTGGCTGGAGAGCTGCTGGGCAGAGAGGGACCTGGGGGTGTTGGTCAACAGCAGCTGAACATGAGCCAGCAGAGTGCCCAGGTGGCCAAGAAGGTCAATGGCATCCTGGCCTGTATCAGCACTAGTGTGGCCAGTAGGACCAGGGAAGTGATTGTGCCCCTGTGCTCAGCATTGGTGAGGCTGCACCTTGAGTGCTGGGTTCAGTTTTGGGCCCCTCACTCCATGAAGGACATGGAGGTGCTGGAGCGTGTCCAGAGAAGGGCAACGGAGCTGGGGAAGGGTCTGGAGCACAAGTGTGATGATGAGCAGCTGAGGGAACTGGAGTTGTTGAGCCTGGAGAAAAAGAGGTTGAAGGAAGACCTTCTGGCTCTCTACAACTCTCTGAAAGGAGGGTGGAGAGAGGTGAGGGTTGGTCTGTTCAACCAAGGAACAAGTGACAGGACAAGAGGAAATGGCCTCAAGTTGCACCAAGGGCAGTTGAGATTGGATCTGAGGAAGAATTTCTTTCCTGAAAGGGTTCTCATGCATTGGAAGGGGTTGCCCAGGGCAGTGGTGGAGTCCCCATCCCTGGAGGGATTGAAGAGTCGTGTAGACATAGTGCTGAGGGACAGGGGTTAGTCAGGGACTTGTCAGTGTTGGGTTAATGACTGGACTGGATGATCTTAGAGGTCTTTTGCAATCTGGGCAATTCTGTGAGTGATTCTGTGTCACCTTCTCTGGAAAATTATCACCATCACCACTGGCATCATCGCAGTAAATAGCAGCAATGGGACAAACTGGGCACGCATGGAGATCAAGCTGCTCTCCTGAATCCCCTGGGTCAGGCTTCAGGCACCACAGAAGATGCAGAGGTGACATCTCTGCTGCAGTCCTTGCTCTGTATATTTCAACTTAATAACTGAGCTGGCTTTTAACAGGAAATGACCAGCAGCCTGTGCTTTACACATTTCATCATTGCCCATCCTCAAAATTAAAAAAAATAAATAAATAAATTGAAAAAATTAGCCATTTTGCCTTTCTCATTAATTGTAAAGCCCGTTGTCTTTCTCCTACATTGGCAATGACCATGCAAATACTAAAATATCTATTAAATTAATACAAAAGACACATGGTTTCTTGAATTGACTGTAAAGATTTACCTTTGCAGAATTTCTCCTCATAGGGAATTCCATCTTCTGGATCTACGCCCTGTTGGAGGAGAGAAGGGGTGTCTATCTAGTGCCTCAAAAATGGTAGTGCAAAACAGAGGCTGAGAATTCAGTTCTTCTTGAACGTTTGCCTGCAGGAAGCACTGCATCATGATAATGATGCTTTCTGTTACATTATTTTAATAAGTATGTGTGTACATTGAAATTAATTTTAATAGCTATAATTTAAATAATCATAAGCATCAATAAACAAACTTCGCTCATAACCGCTTCCCCTATGGTTCCTTAGTTTTTAGTAAATACAGTTTTATTACTTGGAATATCAAAGGCAGTAAATAAGTAAGTGTAATCTAAATCAGTTAATAAACCAGAATAAATATAAAAGAAATATTTGCAGACTAATTTAAAAGAAGGAAAAAACAGAAGAAGCAATCAGGAAGGAAGTACAAGGTGTGACTTCATTTACTTACCCATATGCCATTGCAGTTAGAGTCACTGTTCACATCCCAGTTATCAGGACTGAAACAGAGTTACAAAAAGACATGCAGTGTTACAGAAAACAAAAGATTTTGAGGAAATCAGATCCTTTCTGACATTTTTCACTAAGAATATAAAATAGTTTTCACCTTTCTGCACAGAAGGGTGGGGTTTTTTCCCCCTTTGAATCCAGGAGGGGTAATTTTTCCTAGCAAAATGCAGTATTAATTTAAAGTTAATGCTGGAAGTTGCTGAATGAAATTTACCCCTTTAGTCTGCGTATTCACTGGGGTGGAGTGACTGGGGCTGATTTTTGCAGAAAACAGACCTTTTTTTCCCTGTCCTTTTCCTTGCTTTCAAGTGTTCACTCACTCCAAATCCAGTGTGGGGTAATGAGGATGTGCTCTGGCTCGTTACACAGAATAATTATCTCGGGTCTCTTTCACAGGGTGACCACATCCATGCAGCCCAGCACTACACATGGACTCTATAAGCCCATTTCTGCTAACACAGGTTTGCTGCCCAAGCTGGTGGCATGTAATTCTTCCAAACCCACACCCTTAAACTCCGCTTATCTAGTCACAAATCAGTTAATATTTAGGTTTTAAAAACAGTCCTGTTTAATAACTTCTTAACAAACCCATGGTAGAGGAGAGCTCTATTTTTGAAAGAGTATTTTGAACACAGGGTAAAATAGCAAGAGCAGGGGACCTTGTTCAAGGCCACGCTGTTATGACTGGCTCTGCTCTCCATTTCAGGTGTGCATGGAAGTCCATGCTCAGGCAGTTGGGAGGTGTTCACCTAGAAGATATTCACTTAGAAGGGCACATATTTATCACTATATTTCCACCAATGTAACATGAGGGTTGGATGCTGGAGCTCAGCAGCTTGCCACAAGAACCACTGTTTTGCCCTCCTGCTCCCTGAAGTAGGCATAACCCACCTTGGCTCAAGTGGCATAACGTTTGCAAGCCTCAGCAACTTGATTTCCCTCCCCACCTTTGGTCTGTCTGATCAATTTTGACTGAAGATGCTTCAGAGAAAGGAAAGAAACCAGTGAAACACTCCTCATGCTAATGCACCCCATCCCTGGTCTCGATCATCCCCTCTCATCTCCATCACAGTGAAATCAAGCAACGAGCAGTGATGTCCTCTGTTAGACTATGGCCAAAACCTCATATGGAGCTTGTTCTTTAAGAACACAAAATTACTAGGAAGGTTTTAAAATAATTAAGAGCTTTACCGTCTGCCAGGGTACACGGTGGTGTTTTTGTCGTTGCAGTCTCTGCCTCGCCAGTGATAGCCCCTCAACGTCTGAAAGCCAGGAGAAGCACAGAGATAGGATGTTTATTGTTACTCCTGCACTTTTAATTTAAAATATCTAAAATGAGAATCTAACTCAAGGTGTAGGAATAAAACCCAGTAAATGGGTTGCATTGCCAGAGTCCCTTTGCTAAGCTTTAATAAATGACTCCTTGCACACTTTGGTGCAGAAATAAGACAAGCTGGCAATTTAATTTGTTTTTTTTTATTTTTTTTATATGACTTTACTTCACCTCTTATTAATTCAGTAAACAGACTACTCAGCAGCAGAGCAATTTGCTTCTGCAGGGAGCACAGCTTTATGTGTGCATCTCCCCAGGTGGCATGAATGAATGATTGTTTTTTCATCCAGAAAAAAACCCACCTTTTATGAAAAAAACCCACCCCCTCCATTCACTTCACTCCTATACCTATTTTCACATGAATGAATAAGGTTCTGCAGAAAGTAAGAGGAATCCCATAGACATTCACATTATCAAGGGATTACTGTACCAAAGGAAAAGCTTTGCTTACTGGGAAAGTACTAAATCTATCTCCATCAAAATCTTCAAAAGGTAGTTTATTTCTTAAGACACTGTAAAAAACAAAACCAAGAAATGCAGTGTTAATATATGGAAAAGAATCTATTCAGAAAGAAAAAAAACACCAAGGTAAAGTGTACAGAATAGGTAACAGCTGGCATGTCATTTGCAGCTCCATATTCAGTTTTAGCTCCATGCTAGTACTAAAGCAAAGTGATTCTGTCCAAAGGAACAAATTCTGATTTATTTCAATATCTGCTGATTGAGCTCTGGAGTTGAGGCTGATGGACTTGTGTATGGCTGCAACGTTGAACCTTCAGTCTCCAAAAAAACCACTAGAACATCGAATCTGTGGTAAAAGTAACTATCATTTTTGGAAATAAATACTACACTCAGCCTGGCAGAAGTCCTTCTAGCTGGGAAGGAGCTGCAGAATGGGACTTTATGCTGATGGAGACGAACCTCCTTCTTTTGTCAACAACAAATGGCAAATACCCTTTCTCATATTCATCACTCAAGTCTACGCTGTCTCTCTCCTGTTGTGTTCAGTCTAGAAGACTTGCAGTTTGCATACCAGGCTGCAGGTATACACACAAAAAATATCTTTGGCTATGTGACACAGCTTAGCTCAGCTATATTGAGTAGCCTTTTACATATGGCCCAGCAAGCAGCACTTTTTAAATGTTATGCTTATGTCTTGCCTTGGAAAGTTTTCTTTCCAGGCTTTTCCAACCTCTTGAACTCATAAGAGATGTTGAACCTGGCTCAGAGAGCAAATAGGTGCAATCCTCACACTGCAGGAGCATCAGGATAAGAAAAAATACAGAGGAGACAGGTGACATGCACTCCTGGTGGGACTTGTAACCCTTATTCTGTCTGTCACCAATAATTTCCACGTGCTGCTTTGGGCTACTTCTTCTCTGCGGTAAGGTTCAGTTGCAAGGAACTGGCACAGATCCAGACCAGCTAAAAAAGTCCAACTGACAAACATGGTTTTTGTCGCTACAGAAAAAAGAAAGAAAAAAACAAAGAGAGTGAGAGAGAGAGTGCATGAGAGAAAGAGATCAGAAGAGTTGAACACATTCGGTCCAACATATGATATACAATTTGATTCCTTAACTCACAGGGCTCAAACTCAGATTATTTGTCCTCACTTACATTTCAAAGGCACTTATGAAATGTTTTCTGTTAATCAATCAACTCCAAATAAGGTCCTGATATTTGCAGTTTCTCATGGTTTAACTCCAGACCTCAACTAAACACCACACAGCCGCTCACTCACTCTCCCCTGCTCCAGGGAATGGAGAAGAGAATTGGAGGGGTTAAAGTCAGGAGGCTCGTGGATTGAGATAGGAACAATTTAATGACTGAAATAAAATAAAATAATAATAACAATGACAATAACAATAATAACAACAACAATAATAATTAATAATAATAATATATAATATATAAATATGTGACACACAGTGCAATTGCTCACCACGCACTGACCAATGCCCAGCCCCTTCCCAACTAGAGATCCCAGAGGACACAAAATCCTGAAACCACAATCCCAGAAGAAAGAGAGAGAGCTTTCATCCAGCCTCATCTATATACTGAGCATGACATTGTATGATATAGAATATCCCATTGGCCAATTTGGGTCCATTGCTCTTGCTATGCTCCTACCCATCTTCTTATGCACCTGCACACTAGCACAGCATGGAAAGATGAAAAGTCCTTGATTTCTTAGCAACAACTAAAAACATCAGTATATTATCAACATTCTTCTCATACCAAATCCTGTACTAAATCCCAAACACAGTGTTATTCTAGCTACTAAGAAGAAAATTAGCTCTATCCCAGCCAAAACCAGGACATAGTTTCAATTAAATGAGCAGAAACAGTGAGTAAGTTAGTCTTGGAAGTCAAATCAGTCAAAATATACTGCTGATAATATTGATTTATTTTTAGATTTGCTTGACTCTTGGAGGTGCCACATCTTTAAGTGTCCCCATTTGACCTCTGGGATCCGCTAAAATTATGCAAATAATTTAAGCATTGAAAAAAGGAATCTTACTTATCTGAACTCTGTGCAACCTCCCTCTATGCTACCTGGACAGTGGTTTTATGAAGGAAATCAATAGAAGTAAAGTCTAGGAAGCTTTGTTAACTGAGGATGATAGTTGAAAGAAACAAGTGTACCATATTCTGTTTCTGCTTAAGGACTGAAAACTTTATACATACTATTTAATCTTCTCACACAGGTTATCCAGAAGAGGAAACGCACATATACTTGAGAACCCCAGGAAGCTCTTCTGGAGGAGAAGAAAATAAAAGAAGATGGATGCATTAGTTCATAGAGGCAGTGTAGCTTGGGATATTCAGTGTCAGTAAAGTTCAGAGCTAAATAATGGGGGTTTTTTACCTAGAAACATCTGAAAACTCCAATGAATCTATTAATCATTCTATATGCCAGAGGATTTAGACCTGACACAGCAGTCAACTTAAGGATTTCAACTGAACATTTTATAAACCAGCTACTCTTGTGTCAAAGAGCTGTAAAATTAAAAAGGAAGGAAGAAGCTCCCGTGAAACTGTCTCCTCACATGTACCAAAGTTATTTTTTTCACTCTTTGTAAAAATTACCGTTCTCATGTTTAATAAACGTGGTGGTATCTGACACTTAGTGTAAAACTAGTGAAAGCAACATGCTGTGGGCCATAAGGCTGGTTTCTGCATGCTTGGGGAGGGGGGATAAGCTGAAGAACAGGAACAATCCCAAAGGGAGGAGAAATGGGAGGGTCCTGCATGTGCATTGAACACTCTTGATTTTTAATGGGATTTTTACCTAGAAGTCTCGTAACTTGACTTTATCTTGGTCAGACCTGCAAGCTGTAAAAGACAGCTGCTGCAGGGTAAACTCTTTCAACATTGGTAGACCATAACCATGGGCCAATCCAGTTGAGGTTCCAGGTAACCAGGAAGCTTCAGAAGCTGAAAGAGATCTTGCTAATCAATGCTCAAACATTGCATTGCATTGGCCATCAACCTCAAAACATGCTGCTATTGTGGTTTCACTCTAAGTTCAGTTGGTCTTTAAAGACTGAGGGCATTCAGGTGGTCTATAAATACGGAGGGCTAATTGGTGCACAGACTAATTAACTAAACACTAAGGCTGCATTCAGCAGGTTAATATGGAGCATTTGAGACATACTTATAGCTTTATGCAAAGAAGGATAATTATACTGCTACAGGACTTACAAGCTCTATCCTTGTACCCTTGTGTTACACACTTTATATATGCAAAAAACCCCCTCCAAGAGAGTCCTTGCTGTAATGAGGTTACAACCCCCAAATCTAACATAAAACAGAAGATAAAGGCTGGTACAGCTCAGGAGGGGAAAATGAAAGGCTGTTAATCACCGTGAGGGGCAGTAAACCCAGCATACAAAGCTCTGAGTGATGAAGGAGAACTTCAAGGTGGCACTGCAGGGCAGAGGTGCTGTGGGGCATAGGGCACTGCCCGGCAGCTCCAGGGAGGGCAGGAAGGTCTCTGCTTGGACAGGTAACAAGGGGTGATGGAGATGAGGGTCTCTCATGGCCCAGAGCAGATGAGCCACAGCAGTATGTCATGGCCAGGATCTCAGTGTGGAGAGGAGGGTTGGGAGAGAGCCCCCGGGACAAAGATAGCAGCTAATGTTTGCACCAGTCGCTGAAATGACCAAGCAGCAAGGTGAAGATGAGCAAGTGTGCTGTCTTGTGGGGGAGCCCCACTGTGCTGGAGCTAGAGCCATGACAATGCACCTTCTGAAGGATGCAACAGAGAAATCAAAGGAGAAAAAAAGGAGGAAAGTCAGGGGGACAGGAGACAAGAAACCTGCACCCCCACCCCCAGTTAACTCTCTTCAGTTCTGCCCAACACACTCAAATGACAAGGCTGGAGCCACGTGGGCTCAGAGTGGACCATGAGGTGGAGAGGCTATTGGTGGAGGAGAAACCATAACACAATTGCCAAAAAAGTGGATAGAACTGGCCAAAACCAGCAGGGAATGGGACCTTTCCATGAGCTGAAAGATCAACCTGATCCCATCGCTGCGGCTCCAGCCACCCCACGATATTCCCCATCCATCCGTAGCCCTGTATTTAATCTCCTTGACAGCCTGGCTGCCCAGGGCTATGTCCTGCAGCATGGCAGGGATGCAGACCTCCCCTTTGCTCTCTGTGTGCACATGCATGTATGGCCAGGTGGGCAGAGAGCACGAGAGGCACACAAGAAGGATGCTGGCTTTTCTCAAAGAGCTTTGCAAACCTAGGATGCCTTCCTGGAAAGAGGAAAGAAACCACTTCCCTCACCTCCTCCATGCAGGACTAATCTCAGCACTGCCTACAAAAGCACTAGAAGCTCTTACATCTTTCCATCAGGCTAAGATCTGCAGTGTCTTCACTTGACTGGCTGGCTTTTCACTTGGTTCTAAGTCACAGCATGAAAAGCCTTTGAAGTCAAAGCATCCAGAGCTGAAACTGCACTAGAAAGACAAACAACAGGGTTTGCAAGAAATAAATAAATAAAACAAACCTCCTTTCATTCTGCTCACGGGCTGCATTTAAAGTCTACCCTTTGCTGTAAGTAGAATAAAGTCTTTCCTACCTTTTTCTCAGCTAGTCATTTGAAAATTGCTGCCGACTGGACCTCTGTTAGTTTCAAAAGAAAACTATCCTGCAGCCCCGGAGACTGTCTAATTTTGGTGGCAATGCTTGGCACGATGGTGCTCTGGAAGTGGTATGGGTGATTGTCCCGGTTTTGCTAGGACAGAGTTAATTTTCTTCTTAGTAATTAGAATAACTGTGTTTTAGTTTCAGTGTAGGATTTGTTATGAGAAGAACATTGATAAAGTACTAATGTTCTGAGTTGCTGCTGGAGCTCAAGGCCACTGTGTTTGGCTGGTTCACAGCTGCATCAGGACTGGGAGGGAGAAGCGCAGTGAATAGCAAACTCCAGACATGGCATTTGGATGTGGCAATGAAATATTCCA